CAGAATGAACAATAAGACATGTGTGAACGTTCCGGTGACTCTGTCTTACATTGTAAAACACGATTAACCACGGGATATATTTACTTTGTAACTAACTAACTTTCCGGAATAACACTTCCTAAAGAGACTCACAAAAAAATTTCCTCGTGATGACTCAACGATCGTGAACTAAATTTCACCGTCACTATTTCATAATGATGCTTGGACGAGAAAAATACGCACGGGACTAAAATGAAGAAAACGTAGAACAAAAAATCTACTTGAATGAAACGGAGAAAACCCCGGGGTAATTTACTCAACGAATGTCGCGTTGGACCTCTAACGATTTGTGCGAACCTGTCGGAGGTACACTTATTGTAAATTGGAAATGACCGTTCGGTGTATGTCGATGTAATTATGAGAAACGAATACAAAACTAACATCCGATATTTGCGCTTCGGATGATTCGGTAACAGTTTACTCGCTGCTGTAACCTTACTTACGGAATCTTCGGAGATTAACTCTAATTGTCGTAGTATGACAATGCGCAAAATCGCTCGTCTCTCAAACGGTGGAGTTTATAAAGGGAGAACGGAGATACGGTCCTTTACTCATATAATGCCATAACCTTTGTTCCGACGTTATCTAAGAACTTTACAAAACGATATGGACCAATGTCATTTGTACCTAATACCTCCCTATACGTAGGTCACAAACACACGTAGGGTCTTCCACTATGGTTTGTGCGTTCCTAACACATATAGTACTTAATGTTAATACATGGCTAAGTCGGCTTTGTTTGAGAGAACAGCAAATTCCCTTAAAATTTTGCACGGTAGTGAGGTTCCTACACTGGTTTGCAGAGGTCTACACCTTGATTTAAACCGTACTATTTCGGCTTCACTCGTGTGACTCCGTGGTGTGAAACGGTCAACTTGCTCGTTCTCTAACCGTTAGGTACATGTGACATGTCACAAAATAGGCAACACTGAGGATTACTTACGTAGTTGTACGATCCAGATCGTAATCTTTATCGAAAACACCTTGTTTCCAACGAGAATTGGCGTTATTAACGGAGAGTAATCTGGTCACATCCGTCGGAATAACGCGCGAAATTTATGAACTGACTCGTGCAGTACAGACAGACTGTCTCGATTTAATGTTGTGGACGAATATCGTAGACAGGCACTAGGTTATGATTTGCTTGGTTTAATGTGCAAAGAGTCAAGGTCTCAAGTCGTAGAACGACTTACTGAACTACACTACGGTTTCAATTTCGATGTCATTTCTACAACCTAACGGAGAGACATTATAGTCCCTTCTTTGTAGCCAGGTCTTATCACACTCTCATAACTAGCCACGAGAGATTTTTGACGCGCAAGCCGCTCTCAGCTAGCGTAACCTGCATTTTAATACTGCATTTATATGAAAAGAGACCACGGCGCCGTTTGTTCGAGAGGTTTTACCGAAGGGGTAAGACCCGACTATAAAAATTCCACAGGCTTTTACTGTCATTTTATCGCCATACGTGCACACACTTCGTCTTTAGTACGTCGATGGCGGGCCGACCTGCCCTCGCCACTCGCCTCGTTGTGTGTTTCTCAATTGGCATTGTCGTGAAGGCGAGTACAAGAGGGCACAAAATAGGTTCAATTACAATTTGAACTTATTACATGAAGTAAACTTACATATCTAACTACAACCACAACAAACACTTCGCGGTCACTTACTCGGGGTAATGACCTCAAAATGTTTAGTGAAATTAAATCGCCTACAGTCAGCTAATTATTAAAATTAGCGATAATTTAGCGTACTAACAGCGATCATTGCGCTAATTAGCGATTTAATTAGTGTTTACAAAATAGAAAGATTTACATGGAATCTCCTTATAAAATAGTCAATAAATTATGAGCAATGTTGGTATACTTCACCTGTTTATACGAATACGTTGTACAATATAATAGAGAACTTGTTACCTGTGTATAAGAGTACTTATAATTTGTGTTGTTGGAGGACTTGTAATGTTTATAAGCGGAGTCTATACACACACACACACACCACACAACACACACACACACACACACACCACTACACACACACAACACACAAACACACCAACACACACACACACGCCGCCCACACACACACACACACACAACACACACACACACACACACAACACACACACACTCTATACTCTAGCAACGCTCGATACAAGTTGAGTTCCTATACGAGCTTGCCCTCGACGGCCTGCGACGTTAGTACTAACGCGCGTGATAGGCACGACTCACACGACTGAAAATGGTGTTACAGGGAGGCAGACCGATGGACGTAATTTCCACTTCACGAGCCGCGTCAACCAGCCGCTTTACAGTTGAGGAGACGAAAAGTAATATTGTCAGAGGAAATATAGGCAATCGCGTCGGATCGAGCGTGGTCTACGATTGTTGTGTTGTTGTTGTTGTTGTTGTGTTGTTGTTATGTGCATTCCAGAGAGAGAGCGCGGTGTGTATGTGTGTGGGAGGGCCACGAGGCTACCGGCGCCCACGGACGCCACTCGCACCGTCACACCCAGACGGAGTTCGCCCGTCCGTCCTCGCCCCGGACAGTCTAGCGAACAATACCATAAATGACCCTCGCTCGGCTCCTGTGTCTTGACGCGTGTACGTAATCGCGCACCATTATTAATCACGCAATTAAAAAAATACGCAATTGAACTGTCGGGTGAAATTTACCTCTAGGGGTATCGGAGCGGGTGAGCTCTAGCTAGCCGCTAGCCATAGCTGGAGTTTTAACCACTAGCCTCGTAGGGATAATTTGTCTAGAGCCTCACCAGGACTAGACGGGGATCAGTACACGTTTAAAGCAAACAGGATACTATGTGAAACTGTCAACTGGACTCTCTCAAGATATACGGGGGGGTGTTATTGTGGTAGAATTTGTTGTCCCAAGCGACTTCCCTTCCAATGGAATTAGGTTGGAGACACAAAAAGACGTGAAGTGTTCTCAAGAGGACATTTATGACACTAAACTCCAGACCATTCGAAGTCGATTAGAAGGAAGTACTTCTTCCTGGAGAAGAGACCCTTGGGACCCCACAGGAAGGTAGATCTTTCGGTCAGTTGTTTACTGTTCACCCAAATGTGCCGACCTTATGTTGGGGTGACACCGAGTCGTAACTTGTGCCAAGACAAAACTTTACGACTGACTAAGGTTATACGAACGACAATTGTTACGTACTGTGCAGTCCAACATTCTGATTACTATAGACGTTACAATAGCTTAACTTAGAAATTACGCAGTGTGTAACGTCCTCGTGTTCGTGTGTGTCACTTTACAAGAGACGAAGGAATTTGGGTAGGATCATGGTCTGCTCAAGCATCGTGATCCTCGGCACCCGTCTGATAACATTTCGCGGGCCGTTAACTCACCCCCAAGCCACTGAACGAGTTCCCGTGGTGCCGTCCCGTCCTCCACTCTTGACCCTTGGAGAGGTTCATCGCTATGAGGTATAAATGCCAGACCAGCCCCTGAACTTGGCCGGCTGGATGCCGAGTGTCAGGCTTCGGGATGACGCCGGTGACGGTCTATAGAGACCAGGTAGAACTACCCTTTTCCTGAGTTACTAAAATTCTTACATATTTTACTTACTAAATAGAACTGTACCGGAACAGAACCGACGTCACGAAATCCCCGATGTCTTATGTGAGCATCTACTATGTATACCCCACTAAACCAAAAGACACACGTCGTACAATCCACACACATGTACACCCTCTGTTCTTAGACCCTCACATCGTATAAGGAAAAACTTCCAGAGAAAACCCCACAGTTTAAAGGGGAACATGAGAGAAACCTCAGGGAGAGCAACAGAGGAGGGATCCCTCTCCCAGGACGGACAGACGTGCAATAGATGCCGTGTGTAAATCAAAGAGATAATACATTTTACAGCGTAGGTAGACCAAATGTTTGGAAATGCATGTGTCTGTAATAAGAAGATGAATCCACGAGGATGTCAACAATCCTGTGGGAGCCATCAGTGAAGTAGTATGATGAGAGTCAGGCATGACCGCAGTGATCGGTTCAGCCACGACTCGAAGTCTAGGACTCAGATCCAGGACTCAAGATAGAGGATCCAGGACACAGGATCCAGGACTCAGGACTCCGGACCCAGGACTCAGGATGCAGGATCCAGGACTCAGGACCCAGGACTCAGGATGCAGAATCCAGGACACATGACTCAGGACCCAGGACACATGACGCAGGATCCAGGACTCAGGATCCAGGACTCAGGATCCAGGACTCCGGACCCAGGATGAAGGATGAAGGACTCCGGATCCAGGACTCAGGATGCAGGACTCAGGATGCAGGATCCAGGACTCAGGACCGCAGCAACAGGATCAGCCACGACTCAGGATCCCGGCGTAGAAAGACACCAAAAATACATTTGGGGGAAGCTGGGTTATTCGGAACACCCTTTACCCCTTAATTGTCTGCTAAGCAACAACAATGAGGAATCAAAGCCTTCGAAGATAAAGAGAAGCCATTAAGCTTACACTGCTGCTCCAATCATTATCAGGCAAATCCCAGCGACAAGTCTCATCACAGGGGTAAAATAAAGAGAAGATAAGGCGGGGAGCTAATGATGATTTTTCTCCCAGCATCCACAATGAAAGCAACAAATGGACGATACAAAGCCCAAAGAGGTGTCACAGAGAGCGGACAGAGGCTAATCACCGGGGTTAAAAGCTTTCTGAAAAGACTGAGACGGACCAATCACTTTTAGAATCCTCCAGAATATGGTATGTGGGATTATATATTTCTCATGGACATAGCTGTGAAGGGAAATATCTGCCAACTTCTGCTGCATGGTAGAAATAACACAACCTAATTATCATTTTTAAATATACTTTCTAAAAGAGGTGAAACCTAACAGCAGTGCTCTCAGGCTGTTCCAATAAAGGTTTCTCAAAGGGCTTGTCTCATTTCAATCCAATGCAAAAGTCTTATAACTTTGATTTAATTAGCCCCATTGATTTATGAAGCTGTCAGACTCACCCACAATAGATTTATGTCAGTGATATACAACAGAGTTATCACTATCAGGCCTATTTAGAGCCTATTCTTAATGAGTTTCCCTTCCTGTTGTCCTTATTTGTGTTAAATTCAATCTGCCGCCTCAAAGTAAATTCAATATAACGCTGTGGGACTCCCTTAACAGAGCCAACATGCACAAGACGTAATTACGCTCTAACAAAAGATCTATCATCAAAGATTTACATTGGTATCAGCGTGTGAAGAGAATAAGTTGAAGCAACTCAGTTATGTTTGCCAATTAGCCTTAATGCCATCTGAAGTTGATGTCCTGTAACAAGGCATAACATGCATATATCTGTACTATGCTATAAGCACGTCCAGTTTAATAACAGAATATGGACACCACATATACCGAGCATATAGTATTCACATTTCAGATTACATAACAATGTATTTGAGAATAACCATGACTGCAAAATAATTTCCTTACAATAAATGTATCAGTCTTCTTACACTGTAGTTAAGGAGAGAGGATTTGACCCGCTGTGTTGAGCCTTAATCTTCTGAGGCTTTGATCAAGAGGTTCACACAGGCGACAGACCGTGTCCCCCCCGACAGAGGATGTTTTGCAGCGCCTGCACAGCGGGATGGGGTCGATGCGGGGACTCTTCCAAGGCGACTACCTTCTCTGCTTTCCTTTGTAATCTATTTGTGTGTGGCCAAGCTTTTTGATTTTTTGACAGAGCAAGTCCATGTGCTCACATCATAAATGCCGTTAAAACGGTTGAATATAAAGTATCAAGCATATAATAAAGAAGACTTAATGGTTATGATAAATAGTCTTGTATTGTAAATAAACTACATGACTCATGAGTAATGTGTGATGTTTGGAAGGGGGGCTTGCAGTGACCAACCCACAGATAATAACCAATGGACTATGCAGACTTTGGAGCTCTATGAATTATGTTTAGTTTCCTTAGGCTCATTGTTTTGACTTGTGTTGGTTCACTCGCTCAAAGATACAGTAGACCAGTGGTACCCAACCTGTGGGCCGCGAAGGCATTGCAAGTGGGCCGCCAAATAATTTGCAAAACATTATTATTTGTGTGGAAACATTTTCATTATTAAGTTTTTTTTTTATTTGAACCTCCTTAGCAACGGTCCTACAGTCCTTGACAGCGGTCTGTACAACTGGATTGACAACGTGTCACATGTTCTGAATGGACCAATCAGAACTTTATTTAGCCTCCGTATTTTTTATGGTTGAATGTGGGCCGCGAAAAAAATGTTGATTCTTAAATTGACCCTGAGTTGAAAAGGGTTGGGAACCGCTGCAGTAGAGGAACATTTAGAAAATAAAGAGTAAAGATAATTGTGTTATTAAAGAGTAGGTGGAAATCCAGCAACAGAATACATAAGGAGAGTAAATATATATTCATACATGAATGCTGATATTGCTCCTTCACTGCTTGGATATGCAAATTAAGGATGTGCTTTAAACTCTTAATCTACCCCATCGAAAAACCACACTACCCTTGGTATAACAACGAACAAAGCTATCTAGAATGTTCTGCACACAATGAGAGCAACATAGCCAGAAGATATTATATGGAGTTCAAATGTATCTGCATATACAGTAGAGTCTCAATATCTTTGACATCACAGAGTGTAATGTCCATGATTTAATAAAACGTCTAAATCATGCTAACAGCTAAAGTACCTGGTCAACTCTCTCTTAACAACAAATCTAATTGATTCCCATTGATATCCTGTAACAGTGTTATACACTACAGCCAATAGTGGTGTCACAGTAGACCGCATTTATTGAATAATAATGGTGAGTGCTGTTGTTTCGGTCTTGTTAACCTCCATGGCTTCAGATAATGGAGCAGGGGGTTGTGGGACGGCGGGAAAGCTGTCTCCTATTGCTTTTGCTGCTTCACTGCATGTGGCACCTCGAACTGCACCAGAAGCCTCCATAATTGATGAAGTACTTAAGGTGGAAGGACCCTGCTCTCGAAGATATTTCTAAGTTAATTTCCATTTTTGCTGTAGACATATTCTCCATGCAAGTCCATATTTATATAAATGATCATTTAATGCGAAATGTGTTTCCTGTTCTTAAACAAGGACAACAACTGCATATAATGTGTGTTTGAAGATTAACTTCGCTCTGTGTTGATAACAGTGATAATTCATCAAGATCCCCAACACAAAAACATGAATGTTAACATAGGACAACATAACATTTACACAGGAGGCCTGTTGACATTTCTCTTGAGTTAAAAAGGTACAAAGCAGCTTTCATGACAAATCTCTCCATCAGCTTTTTCCTTCATGTTCCAACCTACAAATCCGACTGTAATTAACTCCTGACTTCATATCTGGAGGTAATGATAGTGTGTGCGTTTGCAGATGCATGTAGATCATATCTGCAAGACTACAGAGTCCATACAATGCATGCTGTGAGCAGTGGAGGGGTTTGGAGCAGTGCTGTTATCGTTACTTGCCAACCTAGCAGAAGAGAAGAGGAGATGAAAGCGGATGTGGGAGGGAATAGCTGCCTGAAGACATCAAATCATTTTAAAAAAGGAAC